TTCCTGTTACTACCAAGCCATAGACACAATTATATCCAGGCAAAAGGAGAAGCCCAGTACCTTTTGGAGAAATCAGTGGCTTTGGGGTGAAGGGGATCTCAACAGCAGGAGGGGCTTTTTTGTCTTTTTTTTTTTTTTTTTTTAATCAAGAGCGTCAAACAATCTTGCTGCGTTTTGTTCAAATGCACCAGCATACGTGCACGTTTTTCCCCAGCCTATAGACATCTTCCCATGTCTGAGGCCACTCCATTTCATAGACCACCAGCTGAGAAGCACTGCCCTGGCCTGCACACACACTGGCTGAACCCAGCTGGCAATTTTATCAAAACATTGTAGTACCCACTGCTCCTCCCTCTCAGGTTTTTTAATTCTGCTTCAAACACTGAGCTAGTAAGGCAGACACTTGCATAAATCAAGTGACACTAATAAGGTTCATGCTAACACTGTAATGACTCAACCTTTTCTAAAATATACAGTGATAAGCAAGCCTTTTATCTCCAGTGATAGAATGACTCAGTTTCGGGAACAACTCACCTAATTAACCAGGACATGATTCAAGGCATTTCATACGTACTATTGCGATACTCTGTTGCAGGAAATAACACATACACCTTCGTTTCCTTTCTATACTCTGACCAGCACAGGGATTTCAATGAAAATCACAAGCATTCAAACTGATGCAAGTGCCATGACTTCGCAAGACCTCTCCTTTTGATTTACATCCATGAACCAAGAGGTCTGCCAGACTCTCCACTGCAAGCATAATGCAGACGTTCAATTGCAGCATTAAAGGAATACAAGCTTAATCCCATACATGAAGCTAACGACTCTAAAGAGAAAAACTTTCAAATGTATTTTAATAAATCCTGAACTAAAAGATGCTTATAATTATAGAAGCTTTAAAGAAATGAATATGCTTGGTTTTGTTCCCTTGTTTCATCACTTTTGTTAGCCCACTTTTTTTTAGAGAGCTAGAAGAGGATAGCCCATTGGTGCTTTTGCTATTTGAAGTTTCTGCAAAACTCCAGATTGCTGTTAGAAGGTTAATTCATGACGTTTGCACTGAACACACTTGCTGGATGTTTTTATTTTAAATACTGAAGACAGGCATCAAACACCCACATCGCTACGTGGGACACTAAGCTTCACAGCCAGGCTCATTACCACAGGACCGTGTCTGAGCTCTGAGCACAGACACTTCTATGGGCTTAGGTGCTGCTATGGGCTTGTTTTGATACATCAGCTCTGCAAATTGTTTTTGTTTTCCAAAAAAGTCAATTTGTTGTGTGAGGATTCTCTGACTTAGAGGACTTTGATTCCCACTCCCGATTTTATGCCCTAAGTTCCACTTTACAAAACAAGGACAAAAAGCAAATACCCTTGACTTTTCAAAAAGACCCTGCCCTAACGAGGTTAGAAAACCTGCAATGCTTTTCAGTAATATCAAGAACATACTAGAAGTGACTCTGCAGTGGCTCTTTGTAGATTTAAGATCTACATTTAATTTTGTGCTAGTGTTTCTAATAGCCCTTTTCTGTACAATTATCCATTTTGGCTACAAAAGCATTTCGAAATAGCATGTGAAAAAACCCTCAGGTTAAGTCTCTGAAACAAACAATACTTTGACAACTTACCCTAGAAAGATAATTTCCATTATGATTTTTTCTTGGAATACTGTATGTACTCTTCAATCGCCCTGCTCCATTTTATTCTATTTCCCTGGTCTTTTTTCAAAAGCACTGTACAACAATGCATTTTCACAAGTGAACCTCAGCTCTTGCCAAGGCTGAATTGCATGTTACAACCTAGAGAAGGATTTGGTTTATTAACTTGCAGTGCCACCTAGCAAATGTCCTTAACATTTTTTTCCTGATGTAGTTTTACAAAGGACAGGCTAGAGCTTTCATACTTAAAAAACCATAAACTTGTGCTTGCAGAATTTTAAGCATCTAGATCATAGTTTTGTTTCAAACAGTTAAATTTTTATTAGAAATTATGCTTAAAAATACAGTCATAATAAAGATGCTCACATACCTATAATTCTGGTATAAGACCTTTGACAACTAGTTTTGGACACATCCCTTATACATTTATCTACAAATAGTTCTGTTAATTGTTGGGGAATTTTTTTTAAATCATACACTTTGACAGTAGGTCAGTGCTGAATTTGTTGGAGTTTTGAGATGAAAGACTCCTGCCACCAAAATAAGGAGGATTTTAGCTTATCAAGGCACACTAGTACCTTGTACGTAGACACCTTTTAGACTTGCCTGAAAGCTAGACCAGCTTGATTTGCCTTGCCTTAAAACAATAACCGTGTCCCAGGACAAAGCAAGTTTAGATATTTAACTCTGTGCCTGGACCATGTGGCTATCACATAGACCTACACATGGGAGACATTAAAATGCAGCCACTCCGAATAAATGCTGCAGTCACTTTCTAGTATCCTAAACCTCTAACAGGAAGCTGGTGTTTGTTCAGTTCCTGTGCCAAATTCTAGTAAGGCATTTAAAAGAGAATATAATCAAACAAGCAAAAAGCAACCTCATGACATCAAGAGCAAAGGATGAAGAGAAAAATACACTTTGCTGACTGACCTTACCCTTCCTGATAACACATCTCAGACCAACTACACTGTAAACTCCTGGAATAAAGCGGCTCGGCTTCATTCACAACGTCAACATGTACCGATATCTGGGCAGTACTTCGGCAGCAATACAAAATAATAGTTTTATTGCTTCTCTTAGAACTTCTAAGTAGAGCTCTGCTACTATACTTGCTGGTGAACAGAGAAACCACTACATGTTTTATAGAGTCCAAGAAATAAAGCAAGTCAAAACAAAAGATAAGTTTCCAACAATAAGAACAGTTTTGGCTTAGTTATGATCCTATGACCCTTGATTTTTCAGCCTATCTCCAGAGAGTCCAGCACTACGCGAGGACTGTATTTACAGGCAGACTTGTGTATCACTTCAGCAAGCCAAGGGGAAAAAATGAAATTAAATTTAAAATAAAAGAAAATAAAAACCCCAGCACGTCAATGAAATTTTGACAAGCACTATGGACTCCATCTTTATCTAAGATGCATAGTAGGTATTTCCACAGATCCTTGAGGTGTTAATCATTTTCTATACAGCACAAAGACGCAGTCTGTTTTCCTGCTTGAAAATGTGCTACAAGAAATGCAGTTATAAATTCACTATAAAAAATCCTCCACCAAACACCACAGACTTTATATGACCTTTTTCTTTCACAGAATTTGCATACATCTGCTGCTAAAATACTGTAAAAAGGGAAAAGACTTTACACACGATTTCCATCCACTGGAAGTAGCACTCAGATTTAGAATGAAAAAGCCTTTCCCTTCTCCCCAAGTCCATCGGTTCCCCTTGCTCTGAGTGACTGAAAAGGAATCACTCTTTCAGGTCAGGGGATACGTGACATTGCTCAGCAGTGGAAGGTTGGATATTACAGAATTACTGCTGCTGTTACCTTTTGTGTTTCAGTCTCTTCTTGACATCACAGTAAAGAAAGAAAAATGACAACATAGGTCAGGCGTTTCAAACAAGCTCCTCTGGTTTCTAATTCCCAAAAGCCGAAATCCACCTGAAGACAGACGTTCTGACTGAACCAAGCCTCCACAACCCGTCTTAAAAGGTCTGGACTGATGACGCCCTCGTACACACCACAAAGCACTAATGCTTACTTAAAGTCAGGGCCTTCCACGTTTTCATTGCCCTCTAAACTGCAAGAGGTATAACTCTGTATTTATAAATTCACCTGTTTCCTTCACAAGAGACTATGATCATTATTGCTAGAACCCATGGCATGTTCTAATAAAGTAGGCAGGGTGGATGTTCTGATTTATTTTACTAAAATATGCCTTTTTGACTACTAATTATAATGGTACTATTCTTTTTTTTTTTTCCCCCTTGTGCAGTGTGAAGATTAGTCATGACAGGTGTTCTCTTCCTCCTCAGGAAGTAAAGGAAACCCATACCTTAATTAATACAATAAGAAGAAAATTACTATGCTTAAGTGACGAGGACTCAGGCAGCTCTGTTGAGAAGCTATTTATTGCTTTCTTTTCATTCAGTTCATCTACAAGCAATTTTTAGCTATGTGTAGCTTTTCATGCCAGTTTACAAAATACTGCAGTACAACTGGAGATACGCAACTACAAGGAACAGGGAGAAAACTTGTGAAATACGGCTTCGTATCTGCAGAACGGAGGCCACGTATTTTTTTTTCTCTCACCTCTTCATCTCTCAGTCTCTGAAATCTAAGCCCTCACACAAGCATTTTCTGTATGTTTGACAAACTTTCTGGGCTCAACCTTATGTCTTATTAATGTTTAACCTCGGTTTCCCTGCACAAGTTGGGAAATACCCGTTTCGCCAGCCAACAAATGAGGATGGATAACCCTGGAAGCTCTTAACAGAACACCCTCACTGCAGGTGCTGCAATCTGCAGTGAGCACTTCTTTCATAAATACAGAATGCTTCTACAGAGAACTAAAAGCTGTTGACCAAAACAGTCTTGTTAGCATTGTTTTGGCAATTCCCTACGATAGGCTTAACAATGCTACTGACCAGCTAGAGATTAACAGTTAGTGGGTTTTTTTTTTTTAATCACTGCATGCATTATTTCAATTTGTTAGCAGTTAGGCAGAATTAGTCATTCTCCAGTTTATAATTACTAATTAGGAGTCATTCTTAATCACCACACGCACAATAAATTAGTTATTCCATTATTTCACTATGAAATAACCACCAAGAAACACATTTCTTCCCATTTCCATGGATAGTATCACATTTTTATAAAAATAATCAGGCATCTACAAAAATACATAACTTTCTGGGAAAAAAAAAATCCATTAAAAAAGGCAACATGATATTTCTCTCCCCTATTTTATTAACATAACACAGTCATTACACAGAGAAGATGAAACCCTATGGAATTTACTACGAAAATTTGTATTATTTTCACCATTTATATTTCTAATACTGAGGAAATGTTGGGTCAATTTTACTGGCCCAAGCCATGAGCCCCCCTTTAATATCCTTAGCTAACACAGAACCAAACTCTTTGACAGGTAACTCCTGCAGAATTCTTACAGCCTTCTGGGAATCATTTCCTAATTTGCAAATGACATATACAGGAAAAGATGTTTGGCCATTAGTTCTCTGCTTTTCTTCACAAATCCTTTTTTCTAAATATTCCAGATATTCTTCATCTTTTTCTTCTAACTTACTCAAGGGAATGTGGACAGCATGCACCAGGCGACAGATAGCCACTTCCACCTGCGGACGAACATCTAGCAACACATGGGGAACTTGCTCATCCAACAGTTTTTTGTATTCCTCTACAGATACCCTGTCTTTACTGGACAGCAGATGTAAAGTCCTACACTTGTCTGTGGCAGAAGAACCACAAAATGCCTCATAATCTTGAAGGCAGGTGACAGATGGGTTTTCACCACAAACGGCACAGTCCGGTTTCTTTGGTCTTAACTTGATGTGGCGAAATCTCCCTTCACGGGCATCAAACATCAGCATGAACTGATTGAAGGAGGAACCCATTCCCGAAGCGATCTTCAGCACTTCCAAGGCCTGGATGCACCCCATGATCCCTGGCACAACACCCAGCACCCCCCCATCTGCACAGTTAGTCACCGTCTCTGGTGGAGGGGGCTTGGGGAAGAGACACCTGTAGCAGGGCCCTCCCTGGTAGTTGTACACGACCAGCTGCCCCTCCAGCCGGAGGGCACTGCCGGACACCAGGGGTTTCCCAGCCAGGACACAGGCATCGTTCACCAAGTACCTGGTGGGGACATTGTCGGAGCAGTCGGCGACGACGTCGTACTGCCGCACCAGCGCTAGGGCAGTGCGAGGGCTCAGGGCGCCGCAGTAGGGCACGTACTGTACGGTGGAGTTCAGCAGCCGCAG